TATATATATATATATATATATATATATATATATATATATAGTTAATTTGTCCTCTTGATACTTTATCATTATCTATTACCTATAACTCCGATTTGATAAAATTAAGGTTGAGGCTGTAATCTTCTAAATATATATGGAATTTCCTTATTGAAGAACTGTAATATATCTACAAGTTAAGTCATTTTTAAACTGTAGAGCAAATATAAAAACGTAAATTGGCTGAATTTTTGCAACCTCCATGGATCTTACTCAAGTTTACTTGATCAGCGTAATCTATCCAGGCCTATTGTATTAAATTGTATGAACCACCTTGCAGGTTTCCTCCCATTGTTTTCTAGGAAGCACTGCTGTTTTTCAGCAAGGCTTTGAATTAAAATTAGCCACACAGGCACATGCACCTGTATCCAAGCAGTGGATGTTCACTGAGAAAGGATAGTCCTGGGAATACTTACCACTACCTTTTTAACAGGATCATTAAGTTGATTTGCTGGGATAAAAAAAAAAAAACACCAAAATCCATTGATTGTATAAACTTTGTATATTTCTTGATATCTATTTCAACTTTGAGCAATTTTTTGTTTGTTTGTTCAGATATCATCATTGCATGAATATGTGGAAGAAAAACGACTTAAAAAATAAAACATCTATGTACCCAGAATAGCATACAGTAAAATAAAGGAACTGTTCTTCCAGAACTGGGTGCCACTGTCTAGGTCTCACTTCTGTTCCAAAATTTGAGCAGTTAGAATTGTTTAAAAAAACCCTATACCACCTTTGGAAAAGTACGTCTCATTGTTTTTATAGCTGGAAAAGTATTGGAGTGAAACTGCACCCTGCTGGCATGTCTGGGCTCGATCCACTAGCAACTGTGATTATGCAGCAGAGAGAGAAGGGTTGCATGACAATGTGGAGGACAATACTTAGAAATTACTCACAGAAACAAACACGTTTTTGTCTGAAGACGTCAGAAAAAAGTGTGGGAAGCCAGCTACCATTTGCATCAGACACCCAGAGAAAGTGTTACCATAAGCATAGTCATACATAGGAATGTATGTGTCAAAACTGGCTGGCGCAATTTGCTCAATGTACTTATCATAACCTTTGACTAATCAAACATTGCCACATGTCATTGTTCTGCTGACAGATTATATAAACACTAATTTGGATTCATTAACAATATTAGAATATTAGATAATGTATCTTGGAAAGTATTTAAAGTGTTTTAACTCAGAGTGAATATAGAGACAAAAATGTTAGAAATTTCTTTGAGTAAAGAATTCATTTTATTATTTCTGGTTATAGTAAATTATACCTTCATGATTTCAGATAACAGTAGATACCCTTGACTATATCAAATGAGTATTGAAAATTGTCTGTTTGCAAAAGTAATATAATCAAATGTTTCATAACGGAAAAAAAATTAAAAAAATTTAACATTTCCACATTTTTTGTGGAACAGGCTTAGGATAAAAAAAAAATGATTTACAATATCTTAAATGTAAACATTTCTAAGTGCTAGTGTATAAATCAGGTCATTTTATTTATTTTGCATATTACATAAGCCACATTCTTTGTAAGATAGATCATTTTTCATGCTCTGAAGGTTTTGATAGGGTAGTGTCCTTTTTCCGATTGAAAAGACAACACATTTATTTTATCCTTCTACAGCAGAAGGGCTTGCCTATATAATCAGTATTATTCCTAGATTCATACTATCCCTTTGTCAGCCTGTGTCCACAGGTTCTATGATAATGCAATTGCATTTCACTCTTGCCTCAACATCAGTATGAAGGTTTTTATCTGACCCTTTGTCCTATGCGTGAATATGTGCTCGATGCAAGTCAATTACTATGTTTGTTATGTTTGACTGGGTTCCAGGTTCTTGATATTAAACCTTATTTAAATGAAAACACTGCAGGCCAGTAGTTACTTGCAGACCTGTGTAAATGCTGTGTTGTGTTTGTAATAGGGCTGAAACAAATAATGGGATTAATCGGAGTTAATCTATAATTGAAATAATCGTCAATTAATTTAGTCATTGATTAATCATTAACTGGAGAATAGTTACTGAAATATGCCTTAAGCTGACAGAGCAACCAACTTAGAGCAGTAATTAAAGCAAAATTGTAATAATAATAAAAAAAGTAAATATTTTGCATTTAAAGTAAGTTTGTTTTTGTCTGTAAATATTTTCTATCCAGAACTCCTCAAGTGGTAAAGTTTTAGTTTCACCTGCTTTATTTTCATAACCTTTGGCTATCTGGTTATTAATTGATTCATCTGAAAAATAATTTTCACATTAATCAATTAGCAAAATAATCGTTAGTCTAGCCCTAGTTTGTAACATAAAAAAAAAATGCTGAGCAACATGTCTGAGTTAACTTCAGACATGTTGCTTTTTCTCTGTGTAATTCTCTGTAGGTTGAGCTATAGCTTCTTCAGTGTATCTGCAACATTGAGAACAGAATACCAAAACTATATTACTTATGTTAAAGGTTACCTTACCAAAATACTGTAGAAGCATATTCATTTAACTGATTAAATACAAAGAATTACATTTTAATTGAATCCGTTCAGCCGGCGAAAAGTATTCACTCAATTTCTGTCTTTATTGTTAATTTTGATGGAAAAAAAGTTAACATTAAAAAAGCAATTTAGTTAATTTTCTCTTGAATTCTATTATAAAAAAGTAATTTCATGCTATAGCTGTGCTTTGGCTTGGACAGTCAAGGTAAGGTGTTGACTTATGCGTGATATCCTCTTTAAGGTGGGTAAGACCTAAGAGTGAACAATGTTCACATTCCTATAGTTAAAATATTCCTGAACGACAGAAGAGGTCGCAAATATCTTATCTTATCTGAGCTAAGGAAGAACAGAACTGTGCCATTTCTCCATGCTCCACATTTCCCTGTTGAGATTAAAATAAATTCTGCATTTCATTCAGAAATTAAGATCCCAGAGAAGGGTGGAGAGCCACAGCTTTCTCTTATTATTTCTACACAACTTATATTTGTTTATATCAAACTATATATTTTAGGTTTTTTTATGTAATTTCATTTTTTTTTCTCCATTTGTAGCCCCTTTTGACCAAAGTAAATTCGTGATGTGTTTAAGTACTTGGCAATAAAACTTTTGATATAAAACTTCTACAGACAGGATAAAATGATTGGGATTCCTATGTTATCTGCAGATGCCAGTCTGAAGTAGTCTATCAAGTTTAATAGGTTTTTTAAGTGAAGGATCTTTATTAAGTAATTTATAATCATTAAAATGGAGATTATTGTATAAGTTTCCCTTTTTAAGTGATGAAATAAATTATCTTCTTGATTTTTTACGTTTCTTTCAATGTTTATATAATAGCTAGGGTGCATGGAATAGAAGTTTTACTTTCCTCTTCCGCCTTGTTCTGAAGTTTGTTGTTCCAACATCGTAGAAACCTGTTATCATCTCCTTTGTGAAATTTGACTCACTGGATTGCTGTTGTCTCCTCATTAATTATTAAGCTGACATGATGATGCTGACTTCAAGACTCACTGTGGGCTTAGCAGTTCTTCCAGGACTCCTTGTTGTTCTTGTCACTAAATATATATTTTTGACAGTGTTTTAGCTGTTGTAATACAGTAGTGAAAACAAGGAGGCAGATAGTTCCCTGCAACATTTTAGATTTCACTTCTTATGCTTTGTCTATATGAGTAAAATTTTTCTGCTTCTCCAGCTCAGTCCTAATGCTTGTTTAAATGGAAGCGAGCCATTTAAACATAAGCCTTATCCTCATAATGAGTTACTAAGCCTCTTTGGAACATGACTCAAATGATTGGCTCAATAGATGTGGATCAAAGCACTTTAATCTTCAGCACGACCATGCTTAAAAGTTGAGAATGTGAAATCTGATTATATGCCCCTGTTAGTACTGCTGTGATTAATCTTCAGAAATGATTTAAAATGTTTGTTTGAGCCGTTATAATGAACTATTATTACAGACTTACTTAAGTGTGCACTGAAATATGCACAGTAAAGCAGATGTGGATTAGGATTAAAAAATTAGGATTTAAACATTAACTGTAAATGAACCATTTCTTGCTAAATTCTATAATCCAAAGTACTGAACATGAACATCTAAAAACAGATATACAGTGGTGCTAAAGTATAAAGGCAGTTTGCATTTTTCATTGGTGAATTAAACAGCAGTTTAACAAAGCCTAATTGAGTGTAATATTCAGTGCTAAGAGATTAATCCTGGCTTCCTTATAGCTTTACTCAGTCTTTAAATTTCATCTCACACATTTCATGTTTAATTAAACGTTTTTTCTGTCAAACAGGGACAAAACTAAATGAATAGAAAATGGGTTTCTTAAAATAATAATATAATCTATTTAAGGTAAAAAGCTTTCCTAATAAACTGGCTTTACGGAGAAATATATTTATGTACTTATTATTATTATCGTCTTTATTTTTATTAGTCAAATTTAACTATCTACATTTGGTTCAAGATAATCAGCTAAGTGAATTACATTGAGAGCCATTATCCAAAGATTGAGAAAACATGGAAGAGGGCTGAACCGTACCAGGAGTAGCTGCCCAATCAAAACGACTTCAGCCTTAAAACCACTAATGTAAGCAGGCTTATAACCATAAGGAATAAAAGTCACAAACATGGCCTCAGTTTGAGAGAAAACTACAGATGAGCAAACAGAAAAGAAAATTTCACTTAATATTTTCGTGCATCTGCCTAAATCCATATTAATGATCCCCCAGACCTTTGGGGAAAATTCTACAAACTTAGGAGACCAAATTGAACCTTTGGAAAGATTTATTTCCTGTTATATCTAGCATAAGAATAAGAATGTGTTTTTTTAAAAAAGGAACAAGATATCTTAGGACCTAGATATTTGACTTTTGAAAGTGTAAAATGGTTTGATTTGTCTGCTGTATCGTATGATTGATAGCTGTTTGTTTCCTCAGGGGGACATCACCTGGAACACATCGTTAGGACCCAGTGTTTGCCTAAAGCCGGTCGCACTGCAAAGCCTATCAGAACTGGAGAGGGTCCGTCTTCAAGAAGTTGCCTTCAGGCGACTGATTCGGTGTCATGACCTGGGCTGCCACATTGCTATTCCAAAATGTACTTATCTGCCTCAGACACATGCAAATATTCACATTCTCAGACCTCTTCTTGTCCATTAAGATGCATGAGCATGCACTGATACAACAAATGGTAATACTGGTAAAGCGGTGCAACTAAGTTTAGAATAAGTGTGTCTTCTATTGCTTTTGAAAGGGACATGGACTGTAAAATCTACCAATATGGCATCCAATCAATCCTATGTTTCTCCACACAAAATGTTTACATAATTCATAATATGGCTGTCTAACTTATTGCTTCTGTTGTCTTTTTAAACTTGGTGAGGGACATTTAATGTTCCTACTTAGGTTGGTCAGAATCACCTTCAGCTTGTCCAAAATGAAAATAGCTGATCCTATAAACATATAGAAGCCATTTTGGAAGATTTATCTTCAAAACTGATTGTATTTAGCCCAGCATTGTGTGGCAAATATATTGATTGTTTAAGATAATCAGCTTGCAAAACTCTGATTTATTTGGTGCTCATCAGCCATGCAAAATGCATCTTCCATCCCTGCAAGGTAATCATATGATTTCTAAACAGATTGCATCGACAAGGATTGATTCCAACTAATTTTTCTTTAAAATTAATATTTACAACCTGGTCTGTTCAGTTATGCAATCATGTAAACATTCAGTTTGATGACCCTGACACAGGAAGTAAGCATTTTTTACTGTTACCGGAGGGTTGCTGGTTCGAAACCTAAATTCAAGCTCCACTTCTGTCTAAAGCCTTATGTCCTTGGGAAAGACACATCACCCGCATTTGCCTGCCATTGTTATTCAGAGTGGTGGTGATTGGTGCTGATGGCAGCCTCACTTCTGTTAGTTTCCCTCTGGGCAGCTATGGCTACAATACAGCTTACAGTCAGTGTGTTAATGGCTGAATGACTATTGTTTAGCTAAAGTCAGAGGATCTTGGGGTCCTCTGACTTTAAAAAACACTATAAGCACACAGGCAATTTGCCACTAACAAAGTGGAGCTGCAGTGGAACAAGTCAGAACACAAGTTAAATAAACACAATTTTTTATTTACTTTTGCAGATGGCCACAAGCACAAGAAGTCTCTTAAGAAGAAGTTGGATTCTTTATCCAAGGAAAAGAACAGAGACAAAGGTAATGCTGCTTAAGATATATCATGTTTAAACAGTGGTGTTATTCTGATTTATCCTTTAAGAAGATTTTAGGCAGAGATTATGGCATAATGTTATAGCTGTGAAGCTCCTTCCTAAGCCTGTGGAGATAAACACAGTTGTATATTAGATCCGTGCAAACATCTTATTAGTTTTCTTGGTTTTGTCAGGATCTGACATTTTAAAAGCTGCTCTTATCCTTTCCCCGCTGAAGCCATGTACACCCATTGCACTAGACACACTCTCAGCTGTTTATTCGCTTGGAGCTGTGAGTGATCAGAATCTCCCAGTACAGAGGAAGCTGTGATCTTCCACCAACACGCTGCCCCGCCCGCTGCAACAATGTGGCAGGAAAGTGATGTTCTCCGTCAGAAAGAGGCAGTCGAGGGAAAAAATCAAAACAATCTTAAGTGGAGGCTCATTCGTTGCAGCTTATCCCCTGGCATTCCCAGCCCCCTCTTTTCCTCTTTTTTTCCCCCTCAGTCTTTTGTTTACAAAGGCACTTGGGAAAGTATGAGCTCTCTGAATATTAAGTGCATGCTCTGCTGTTGCCAATTTTTTTATTTTTACTTTTGATAGCAAAATTATATGTGTATTTTTCTTTTTTCTGATCTGAAAAACATGGCGATTCATTTTTATTTAGCTACCTGCTACTGCTACAATACAATCTCAAACAATTCTCTTTGGATTTTATTTAGTACATAATTTACATTATCAGCAGGTTAATCTCTGACAAACACAACTGATCCTAACAATTTTGTTTCAGAATGGTAATGGACAAAAATCATTAAGAACTGCCAGAAACAACTAAGACAGATCAGAGATAAAGTGGTGTTTAAAGCATCTGAAATATTAACCCAAACTTTGAACATCACACAGAGCAGGGTTCAATCCATCCTCTGAAAATCTAATTAGGCACTACAACAGCTTAGAGATATGGTCCTCTTCCTGAGGAAACATACATGTCAGAGAATATTAATCAGACAAGCTGCCAGAAGGCACATGATAGCTCTAGAGAAACTACAAAGATCCACATCTCCACTGAGAGAATCTGTCATATCTGACCTTAATGGTGAAGTTACAAAAAAAGGAGTCCTAAAACAACATGTTTGCATTTGCCACTTTCTTTATAGAGGAAACATTAAGGTTCAATACAATAAGGTGCCTTTGTATAGAAAGGACCAAAATTCAATAGTTTGCCCCACATACAAAAAGAAGGAATAGTGGAAAATTAAAACTGTATATAGTCTTGAACACAACATTTTTCTATGGAAGGACAGGGAAGCTGATGGTTAGGAACACAAGTAGAGCTAAATAGAAGGTGATCATGCAGGAAAACTTATTTAAGGCTTTAAAATACTTGAGACTTGGCATATGTTCTTAAAACAGAAAAGTGGCGTTTAACATATAGCCAGAGCTACAGCGTGGATCAAAATCCAACTGAAATATTTGGTATAAGACTTGAAAACCTTTTACTGGTGTTCCCCAATCACTTTTGGGTAAAAGAATAGTGTTAAGATGTGCAAAGCTGGCAGACACATAACCCTAACAGATTAACACATGTAACTGGATCAAAAGGTGGCCCTTAATACAAAACCATGCCCAGATTTTTATTGGTACAAATGTTGAAAACCATCTGTGACTCTACAGCAATGCACTGTTTAGTGTTGGTATATCCAATAACATCTCTAATATGAAAAACCTGTAGGGATATGAATGTTTCTGCAATGGACTGTAAACTAGATGTGACTGAAGAATCATTCAGAATCATCAGAATTTCAGCTTTAATATTCCATGTCTTGCTCTCTACTCACACAGAGACTACGCCGCTGGCGTTCGGCATACCACTGTCGCACGTCATAACCAATGACCGTGTTCACAAGCTGCGACATGACCCCCTGCGGGAGGAGCACAGTAACCCCACTGAATTGATGCTATCCTTCCTTCACCTGTACTCTAGCTTCAAAAGGTCTAACAAAGAGCTCTCCAGCAGCAACTCCTCCCTGAGCTCCACCCCTGAGAGTCATAATGAATCTCCCTTGCCCAGCACGCCAGAAACAGCCTCAAGAACATCCAGGAGGGTAGGCCTTTCTGTCAATAAACCTGACTCACTGACGTAGAACACCTGACTCTGTCTGATTACAGCCTCTCCAACGATTTCAGTGGGATTTTGTGACCTTTTTAGATATTCACTTTGCATGCAGATGATGTGGCCTTTAAATGAGTGCAGTACATACATTTTTCCATAGCACTGCTGAGCTGGTTGGCTTTCCATTGACTACATGATTGTCACCCTTATGACTGACAGGGTGGAGTGTCTGTGGATTGCATCACTGACCTTGATGATAACCAGTCTCGGCTCTTGGAGGCCCTTCAGCTGTCTCTGCCAGACGAGGCAGCTGGGAACAGGAAGAAAACCAGCGACAAAAAGCTCAGCCTTAACCCTATTTACAGACAGGTGCCAAGGATAGTTGATCTCTGCTGCCAGCACTTGGAAAAAAATGGTACAAGTTGTAAAAGCATCAATCAATGTATAAAGGTTCACATGCTTGTTGGCACTTATAAAGCATTTGTGTCTTTGTTCAGGCCTGCAAACAGTTGGAATTTTCCGTATCGGGAGTTCCAAGAAGAGAGTACGACAGGTAACCTTCTCTGCTCTAATCAGCTGCCTTAACATAAAAGAAAAATCTCTTTGAAGCCCTGATTGTGACAATGTTTTATCTAGCTTCGTGAGCTTTTTGATCAGGGGTGGGAAGTGCATTTTAATGAGGAGCACTGCGTCCATGATGTCGCTGCTTTGTTGAAGAAATTCCTCAGAGACCTGCCTGACCCCCTGCTGACGAGAGAACTCTACACAGCTTTCATCCACACAATGAGTAAGGAGCACAAAAACGAACATTTCGACACTGAGCATTTCAAAAAAGTAAAAAAAAAACAATACACTACTTGTTTTCCAAGTTTGAAGGCGTTTTGCTTCCCATCCAGAAAGCTTTCTCAATTCAAAATGTCTGGAGTAGTGTTTGAGTTCCAGGCTTTATAGATTAGTTCAAACAAAAGCCTTATTATGGTTTAGAAAACATGCAAATTGAACCGAAAGAACAGGTCCACCCCTTAGCAATGGAGAGCCATTAAGGTCATTGTTGGCCTGTAAGACCAGATACTGGCCTATGCCTCTGTAATGGGGATTTTAGGGTTTTTGTTGGCCTGGCTGACCAGGTGAGATGTTTTGATCCCCTGCATGGCATTCAGTGTTGAAATGGCATTTCGACACTAAATGCCATGCAGTGTTTTTTATTTTACTTACTCATATTTAGGCCTTGCGCTTAAGTTTGTTTTGCAAAAAAAGATTACCATCTATAGTCACTGGCTGTGTTCAGCTGTATTCTCCTTTCCTGTATTGCAATCAGATGAAAATAATGTCAAGATGACAAACATGTTACACACAATTCACTGAGCTGCTTGTTGCATATATTAAAATACCCATTGTCCACCCATACTTAAATAAATTGTTCTCATTAATATGTGGAGTTAATAAATTATAAGATATTAATTATAACTATCAATCTTGTTGTCTTTTATACAACCTTACTTTTTTTGTTTATTTGTGCTTGTGCCCACAACTGCCCATAGCTGAATGTTACATTATAAACTTGAAATCATATATATGAATGTGTGTGAAGTTTGGTGAAATTTCCTGTCTTGATGTAAAATCTTGAAAATGAAATCAGCTTGAGTATGATCTGCTGTTGTATACAGCCATAACGGTTCTGTCCCCGATTTCTTTTGTCATCATGTGGGGTCTTATACTTTTTCAAAACCACCCCACAATTTTAAATCTTGCTTTGGAAACCAGCCTCAAGGGGACATTTTTCTTTATAATTTTTTTACATAAATATCTAAATTTTTATTGCCATTGAAGTAAGCTTTTAGCAAAATGGTGTCTGGATCTTTCTTATGATCAGATCTAGTGAATTTTACTGGAATTGCTTCTTTACTTGGTACAGACACAGGCTTTATTTCAGTAGTTATATGCCTTCTGGTAACAAAGACTTGTGGTCAAATGAGACAGAGATTCACTGACAATATATTGCCACAACAATACATTTGTATGTAGGCAAGGATTTAAAGCCTAAGAGCACTGTACATTCCCTCAAACATGGTGGTGGCAGCATCCAGAAGAGGGCATTTTTTAACGGCAGTATTACAGGTACCCTGCAGAGAGTGGATGAATTATTAAAGAATTAGAACTTCCCAAGTCTTAAGCTTTACTCAACAGTAAGCAATTGGCTATATTTGATATTCCAGACAAAAACATATAGACATGGGTTTTGATAGGAAAAACTCTGGGTAAGAGCAGAGGACCCTTATCTAAACCATATATAAAATGTGTCAACCTGGAAACCAACTGATTTAGAGAAACATAAGGATTTTAAATAGCATTAGTTGCCTTAGAATTACTTAGCATGTAGTCCTTCTGTCAGAATGATTAACCGAGTAATAGAAAGTGGTATATCTATAACTACATTTAACCAAATGATAGTTAAAGGTTATGCATGTACAGTATTTCTATGTTCAATTATATTCTTGGCTGAATTAAACAAATTCTAAACACATTCAAAATCTAGAGTAACTACTTGTTTTTAAAGTTATTTAAAGGTTTTTTGACGAATCTACCGTGCTAGAAACAAACTGTTAAATGTGACCATATGGTCCAGATATAAAATTTCATGCCAGCTGTTTGCACATGAAAGTCTGTCATTGGGGCTGTGAAATATTTGAGTGTAAACATTTTCATGAATTTTTGATTATGTTTTAAATTTGTTTTTTTACAGTGCTGGATTATGCCCAACAACAAAGCGCCATCCAGCTCCTTATATATCTACTTCCTCCCTGCAACAGCGACACACTGCAGCGCCTCCTCAGCTTATTGTCCACCGTGGCCTCACACGCTGAAGATGGCCTAGACACAGAGGGACGGAAGGTAATACAAAAAAAAAAAAATAAATATATATATATATATATATATATATATATATATATATATATATATATATATATGGTGGGGGTGAATCTATTTAAACCTTTTCAAGTTTATATTTCATTTCCAGTTTTTGCATTAATTCATCTGTTTTATGTTAATTGCAAATCTGTTCTATTAACACGTAAAAAAAACAAAAAAAAAACACGTTTAGCAATCAGAGGGTAATTTACTCCCTCGTAAACAGACTGTTCCACAGATTTATTGCCATGAATGCCAGCAGCCAGCAGAGGGCAGTTGGACAGATGTGCTTTGCATCTGCAGCCTCTAATTTGAAGAGATCACTGTGCCAAAACAGTTGCCCGGTTATGCATGATAATCAATTATGATTATCTTTATCAAATGATTCATGAACACTCTCTTCATGAAGCACCATGAGCACACAGACACCAGGCTTCTGTGAATGTCAGTCTGTTATGGTGTAATTAGTGTTTTCTGTTACGGAGCAGTACCTGTGATCATGTCTGATTATGAGGAGACTTATTAGGAAGACTTAACATCTACTTATTTGTGTGCAGGTAATTACCTTTAGATGGGCAATGTTAGGACTTAGAAAAATACAATGATTCATTTAAATTTGTGTTTCACTAAAATCACATCCCTAACGGGCCAAGGAAATGCATGTCCTAAATTATACTGTATATGCTTTTCATTTTTGGTAAACATTGATATCAATTATTTCCTCTATTACAATGATCCTGGTGTGTAAAAATCTGAGTTTTTTTTTTTAAGTCAGACACCACTTCTCAGTGTGTGTCAGCTCGTGGTTTGCTTTACTCCAGAATAAGAATATGCCAAAAAAAGAAATGTCTACATAAAGACAACAGCGTTCTAGATTAGCCTTACAGTTACCTGTTTCTCGCAAGCACAAACCTTAGGTGTAAATCATTGAGTAGCCTGGTGCAGCAGCAATGGTTGCTTGTCCATGAAGTGTGGCCTTCACCTCACAGACTGCCTATTGTTATAAAACATAAGATATTGTGCTATTGACAGCTAAAAACACACACATATCTATAGTAAGTCTTTTACTAGAGGTTTTTGTGTGTGAGGCCCTGCTGTCTATCCAGTTGTAGCAAAAAAAGATCTCAAATAGCATATGGAAATATTTCAAAATAAACAAACCATGTCTGTGCCACTTACATAGGGATTGGTGTAAACTGCACTCCCTCTGCAACAGGGCTGCAAGCTGGGGAGAGGCGCACACTCAGCCACACAGAGGTGCACAGAGGGAAGTTGCTGGCAGACTCAGGGAATGTTCCTTAGGCCACATCTTAAATACAAAACATGTTTCTAACAAGGTCAAAGAGAAACCCTTGCATTGCATTTAGCCACGAGGAAAATAATGACCATGTTGAAGAAGAAATAAAAAAATTAACTTGAAAAAAAATATCAAGCTACAGACGTTCAGTGTGATCAACTGACAATGATCTGTAAAAGAACAGGTTTGGAATACGGGAAACCCTATCATATGCCTTTTCCTTAAATAGTGATAAGTTGATAAAGCAAAGTTGGTGCCTTGTCCTCCCTAGAAAGTGGTACACCAATGGTGGAGATGGTAAAACCTCAGATATGTATATAATGTATAGGAAATTGTCACATATTTGAGAAAACATCCTAGAACAAAGGTGGAAGCTAATGCAGCAACAGTAGGGAATATATAACGGTCATTGTTCCCTTCACAGTGAATGTCTCTAATTGATTTGTTTTTTTTAATTGACACATTACAGCAATCTCCTGGGAAATCTTGGATACTAAAAAGCATTCTCAATCCAATTGAATCCACCCAATTGTTTACGTTTGGTGTTTTTCCAGGGAAAGCATTATGTCTGCAAAATCATACTTATTTTCGTTTAACCCTACAGGTCATTGATGTCTGTTATTTTAATAATGTTTTTTTTGTTGTTGTTGTTGTTGTATTTTCTAGGTTCCAGGAAACAAGATGAATTCACGCAATTTAGCTACCATCCTCGGTCCCAACCTGTTACACAAGCAAAAGACCTCAGACAAAGAGTTTGCTGTTCAGAGTTTTGCTCATGCAGAGGAGAGTACAGCTATCATCAGTGTTGTCCAAAGGATGATTGATGCCTATAATATGCTGTTTATGGTAAGTAAACCCATAATGCAATAGAACAGTTGAAGATGAGGCAGAGTTGAAGGCAAACAGTCACAGTTAGAGCTTGTTTTATGAGCAGTTCTTATGCCTAACAGAGTGAAGCCACCTAAAGAAAATGTAAACATCAACTTAATGGACCAAGAGGGAGTTTTATAGAAGCTTATAAAACAAAGCTACAACATTAAACAGAGTTTTTTTAGTCTAAAACCATATAAAACGAGGTTGTACCTACACTCAATGCCAAGCAAATGAGAAGCCTCACTGGAGACATTACATTCTAAGATTCAGTCATGAATAACATGGACATTATGGTTTTTACCAGAGGGAAATTGTGTTTTAAGAAAATAACTTACAGAACCCATCTCTAACATGATAAAAAAAAAAACTGTACAAAGGTAAAAATGCTATTCAAAATGTATCTGTATTTTTCATACATCTGTTTATGATGTTATTGTAAATTGATGTAATGATTATTTAAAAGACATCAAAGGAAAGCATGCTTTCTCTTGACCAGGTTCCTGCAGATCTTCAGAATGAGGTGCTGATTAGTTTGCTTGAAACCGATTCTGATGTTGTGGAATATTTGCTTCGAAAAAGAGTTTCTCAATGCTCGTGAGTTTCCACTGTTTCTATTTATGTGCTTTGTCTGTAAGGCCACTGATCTTTTTGTATGTATCATTAAGGTTCTATAAAAGCTTTTTAATGTTTTTGTTTTTCAATTTTTTTAACAGGGATTCAGGCATACTAAGACCAGAAGACTCATTTTCTCTGAATGAGAGTTGCATGTCCAGTGACTCCCTTAAAGCATCCAGCGGAGAGGTGTCTCCATATGACAATAACTCTCCTGTGTTATCAGATCGTCTGTTACTTAAAGACACAGAGGAAAGCAGTTTGAACTCCGATAAGGAGCTCATACGCCACAGGCAGTACAAACTAAGTGACCATTCCAAAGATGGATCAGGAAGCATTTCTCCAACCCCTTCTATTGATAAAGGTGAATTACTTTAATTTCAACATATATTTGTACTTGGAGGTGATATGGGGCACTCACTCCAACCCAAATTTTCACAATCAATTTTGATAGCAAAAGAATATCTCTATCAAGACAATTTTAAGCAGGGGGCTCAGTAGCAACAATTAAGTGGCTGTTTGTGGACCCCAGAGCATAATTTCATTTGAACCCTTTTAACATATTTGTCATGTGAAGTCCCCCAAAATGCTATATAGTTAATTTGTTTTTTTATGACAGATTAATACAAAGTTATGAGGTAAAGTTGTTGAGAAATTTACAGAAGAGAAAAGAATATACAACATTCCAACATTATCCCAAAATCTCATGAAACACTCTAAAATATATGAACTGAAAATACTGAGGCAACTGTAAGCCTACCGTAAGATGATCATACACTTGACTGCAAGCAAAGCATTAATCAGAAGACCAGTCAGGTTGCCCATTGTAATTTTTGAGGACCTGCAAAGATCTACTGCTTCTTTTGAAGGAAAGACAAAAAAGATTGCTTTAAGTTTGCCAAAAGCCACATAGAGGGTACATTACGCGTGGAAACACTTATCCTGGTCAATTGAATTTAAATTTAAGCTTTGGCCCTCAAGGGCAGAGGTAGAGGGGGGTGGGGGGTGCGGTGGGGGCGGTATTGGACCTTCCAGAGGTCTGAGTGCCCCACCCAGATGATTGACATGTAACAGCACCAGATCATTACTGTACAGTCCATGGTGCTTATGCATTGGCTAAATAAGTGCAACAACAAAACATCGCTCAAAAAAGTACAGTAACTTAGATAAACATTCTACTCAAATACAAATAAAGTTACCAGTTTATTGTAAGCAAAAAATAAAAAATCTTTCTGGTCTATTTTTTAAAGGAAGAGACAGTGTAAGTCCCACATGAAAACAGCATCACAACAGGGGATGCAGCCATTCTGTGAACCGGCATGCAATCAGAAGGCAGGCAAAGTTGAAGCAAAAATAAAGATGTCTAATAGTAGAAGAAAATTCCAAGGTCAGAAAAGCCAAAGGGATGAACTAAAGAACGTGAAAAAAAATTAGTAACATAAAGGGGAGATATGGGATGCAGAATAACATGAAGCAAACTGGAGCAGCATAGAGACGTACTGAAATCAGATGAACCAGAAAAAAGAAAAACAATTGAGTTTATATAGGGAAGGAAGAGGGAAGGGTGGAGGATGACCCTGAATGCAGATGAGTTAATCAGGGGATTAGAAACAGCAGTAGAGGAGAAGAGGCAGACTAATGGAAGGGAAATTATTAAAATAAGCTTAATGAGACACAAATAAACTACAAATCGAGAGAAAAGAGACTACAACTGAATGAACTGAAAAAAAAAAAAAATCTAAATGCACAAAGAATAGAGCACAACAATAAGCCAAGAATCAAAGAAAAAACTAATATGGCAATATCTTTCTAGAAATGATGAACACAGAGAAATGAACTAATCACAGCTATATGTACATTTATATATAAAACATGACAATTCTAATCTTTTTTTAATCTTCCTGTTTATCTCAGATGCCTCAGCTGATTGTTTCTGGGACACCTGGCACGAACTGTTTGGGAAGGACTTTATTAGCCATCACATTACCGGTAAAAAAAAAAAAAAAAAACTCTCATTTTATAATGCTTATTTCAGGTGGCCTTGGAATGTGAAATACATTTGAAATATTCACTGATGATTCCCAACAGGCTCCTTTGGAGATGCCTCAGAATGTGATTCGTATGGATCGTCAGAGGGACTGAGTAGTCACCAAGGCAACAAGCTGCCCGTCAGAGCAACACAAACATCATTGGGCGTCTCAGAGAGCAGACCACACCTCCCAGTGACTTACTGCAGCAGTGGTCCTCATGACCACAGGGAGCAGATGCAGCCAGAATCATTGTTACATCAGTCACAGAGCAGCCAATCAGGGTCTATTAGCACAGACAGCTCAGCACAAAGGACAGGACGTCCTCAATGTCCATTATTTATGGACAGAACAGAGGGTTTGTCTCCTCGATTGTGTTCTAGACCTTTAAAAGAAACTTCCATTTCTCAATGCAGTTTCTGTTCAGAACCATCATCCTGATGCACAATCACTTCTGCTCCCCCAGCAGAGCCCTGCCCTACTGACTGTAGATTCAACAGAGAAGAAAACAAGGTCTGACTGCTCAAACCTGTAGACAGACAAGTGGCACATGTTGCAGATGATGTCAAGTAAAAAAATCTGAATCCTACAGAGGAAGTGTGGTGTGATTGTACCTTAACAGACAACAGGTCATATGGTTACCGTTTATTTATGTGCTGTTGAAATCAACTCATGTTTATCTTTTAATATTCTTATTTTTTAGAGTTTTTTGAAGGATTACTTTTTAATGTTGTTTTCCATTATTTTATTGTTTCTCAATGTTTTGTATAGATATTTAATATAGAGATTGTTTTTATTTCAACCTTAAAAAAATGTGTAGACCTTAAAAACCACAAATACAGTACTGTGAAAAATTATATGCCCCCCTCTATAATCAATCAAGACTTGAAGGCCTTAAGATTGTCCAACAGTTTCTAATATCATAGATGACCTGAATTAATACAAAAAGCTGCTTTTAAATAACCATTTTTTACATAATCAGCAAAATGAATGGTCCTATTTGAAAAAGTAGATGAACCTCTTGTAAATATTGAATTATGTGATATGAACCTCAATTTGTGGACGCTAAGGTTCAGTTTCATTAGCCATACATAGGCCTTTTTACCACCTTTCTTATAGATTCAGAAATCACTTAAATACAACCTGTGTGACAACATGAAAAAAGCTTTATTTTTTAACTAAATAAAATCTAATTATGGTCTCACCTGCTTGCTGCTGTGTTGAGGGCTGAGGGTTTGGTATGGGCAGTGGGACTAGGTCCCATGCTCACCCTGCACGTCTGGTGATGGTGGTGTGATTGAATCAAGGCTCAGTGCCAATACCTCTCAGCCTGTGATTCTTTGGCCTGGAAGCTGCTACACCTGTGCATCGTTTATAGCCTACCCTTCGCCTATTGCTGCCTTGAGGTGACTTGCTGGCTTGTGTCTGTCTTCAAAGAGCTGCTGCAATCTTCCATATCTGGTCCAAAGATCCGTTGCTGTCCTTGAGTTCTATGTGATGAAGGCCTTCTAACCTAATGCATTTTCACCTAAAGGGAGTAAACTTGCTTACATACATCCACTTAACACAAATATGCTGATCACCCACATACTGTACACACAACCCCATGCACAGACACACAAATACTTCAAATGGCTGAAGCTCATATAAACACAGGTTACTATTACATCAATGTGGACTGCTTACTTTTAAGATTGACCCAGTCTTGATTTCATAAAATTAATCATGGAATCAAACATTTGTCTATATATATATATATATATATAGTATAAAGTATGTATATATATAAGTATAAAGTATGTCTACAGTACAGCGCCGCAGTTGGACATCTTGCATGGAAATGAATTATTACGCAAGCTGGGTGTATCTAAGCCATTAGTTAATATATGCAGTATAACCAGCAATCAGTTCAGTATTTGATTAAATGAATACATTTTCTTTTGCATCTGATTCTTATTTGAGAACTCAACTTCATCTTTATCCTTGATTCTCCTCTGTGATGAACCCTTCCACTCTTTTATTGTGGCCCGGGAGACAGTAGCAGCTTTGCATTTGTCAGGCAGCCAACACCATACAGCTACGTGACCTTTGTTTAGACAGATAGACAGGTAGGTGTCACTCTGTGCTCACACCATGTCGCTCATCCAGGATAAATCTTTCAAATCTCGGCTCAAGGATGATCACCTTGGTTATGCTTAGAAAAACACATGGTGCCTACCAGCTTTATCAAAACAACAGTTTTATTGATTTGAATCTCTGCTAGCCCAGAGTAAAATACACTCTCCTGAAAAAAAAGCTGTCAAATACAAATCAAAGAGGACTTTGTCTTGAGTTGGATTAAATTAAAACAAAGTTGAAAAAGTTCTTAGGAATTTTTGGCTGCATGGCTTCCTTGTTTTTTTTTTCCATTACAATTGATGATTTTTTTTTTTTTTTTTTCCATTACAATTGATGTGTCTTTAAATTCTTTTTTTTACAAACAAAAAAAATAATATTCTGTTCTTCAGCAGTTTTATCTCACAAGCGGACTATGTGTGTAAATAATACACACAAGTAAGTTTTTTTTAGCATATTATAATATCTTAGTGTTGTGTCATGGTAATGGGATATAGTCTGGACTTTGACTACCCTACTTTAAAAATTTTATTACTGGATGTTTCTTATGAGCCATTCAGTTATGAGTTTGCTGTTGTCCCTGAGACAATTGTTTGCTGCATAATTCAAATTACCCTGAGCTTTTAACGTTTCAGATTGATGGTTGGAATTTCTTTTGCTAGAATTTAAAGCTTCATCATTCATAGCAAGCTATCCATGTCTTGAAACAGAAATACAGCCCCATCAAACTATCAGCTTTATGTTGACTGTTACAATTATGTTTTGATTCATTCTTGTTTTTATGGTGTGTTAGTTTAACACTAGCTCCTCAAAAATATTTTTAAAATATTTGTTCCTATCAGTTCACAGAATATTTGGATATGATCAATAAGCTCTTGGAGTAACTGGTTGTATAGGCCTGAAACAATTAATCGGATTAATTGTGATAAATGGATGATTGAAATAACCTCCAACTAATTTAGTTATCGATTAATAGTTAACTTGACTATAAAGAAGCTGGAGCATGCCTTCAGCTGACAGAGAAACCCACTTAGAGCAGTAATACAGCAAAATTGAAGAAAAACAGAAAATATTTTGAATTTAAGATTAAAAAAAATGTGTCCATTTGTATGCTCTGCTCAGAACTATACAACCGGAAAAGTTTTAGTTTCACCTGGTTGGATTCTGTAAAAAATCTTCTTTAGGGAACCTTTTGTTATCCAATTATGAATCGATTAATCGAAAATATCATCAACTCTGAAGGTTATCTATATTATCAGTGTTTTCTACATTTGTGAATATTGTTTTCACTATCTCCTAAAGCTTAGAATTGATGTTGAAACATATTCTAGTCTGATAAATGTAATAAATTCCCCAATATGGTTATAAATGCCATGAGTGTCGGGCAAGATCTTTTGGTTATTGTGATCTTTTAGTTAACTTCATACTGTTAGAAAGGTTTTATTTGAGTTCTTGATTCTGTACATCTTGTATGACTCAGCACTCTTTAACTGCACTCCTTTTCAACTGGACAAATTTTAACCAACTATGGTTTATTATAGGTAGACTATCTGCTTTGACAAAGGGTTTGTATTATTTGGCTTGGGTAGCTTTTCATTCAGTATATGAATTAAATAATGTATTAACTCACTCAGGTTATATTTTTCTTTTGTCAAAAAGTGTTTTTTGTCTGTGACAGCTAATTGACCAAAGCAAAAACAGAAAAAAAATCTATTTCAAAGCATAGTAATATGATATGACAACATACAGTACAGTGTCACTTAAAGATAAACACATTTAAACTGTTAAATTGTCTCAAATGTCAATTACTTTGACTTAGTTTGACCTTTTCCTCTATACATTTAGAAAATTACAAATATTTTTGCAAGTATTTACGGAAATTAAGTATAACAATGACTCAATTCCATGCTTCCTGTCATATGAAGGGAACACAATGCATCGATGACTGTCAGCTAAAAAAAAAATACTGAAATGGCCATGGGAGGGCAGCATAAGACCACAAAATCTTCCTTTTAATCTGTAATTAGTAAGCAAATACTGTGGTACTGTTCAGTGAGCTTCAACAGTTTATTGAATATTGAATAGAGTTGTTCATTTCTGTTCACACTTAATCATATCAAACAGTCAGAGATGTTTAAGCATTTAAAGGTTGGATTTTATAGGCTATGAATTAGCATGCAAGTAAGACTTAAGACGATTTTGGGTTATATGGGGCATTGTAAATAAATGTGGATGGTCAGAACTTATTATCGTATATTGATTCTGAAAATGTTGTGAATGTGTTTTTTTATATGCTTACATGCTTTGAAATACTTAAAAGTCCTTTCCCCTTTTCAACAAGTTAAACATTCACTATTGCACAAATCTGTGCGAGTAACGCTACATTTGTCACTGCTGACAGGATGTTTGGATATGTTTTATGCTTACAATCAAATCTCACAGATGTGTCATATTTCTTTCCAAGCCATTCACTCTTCTAAACACTCAAATGTTAGGAAAAAAAAAAATCTATTTTTTTTTTAACCAGCATCCTGAAAGCATACAATTAAGATATTTCATATAATTTTTCATCTTTTCATCTTTGCTGTTGGATGTAAATTGAGCTTGTGGCAGAGCGCTGCTGCTGTTCCCAGCAGGACGTCCATCCGTTTTGAGCCGACTCCTTAGCATCAGGAGCAGCTGCGGGGAGGACAGAGGAAGGTCACATCCAAAATGAGACCAACTGTGTTCAGCAACAAAAGAACCTCAGCCCTGTGGTTTCAAGGGCAAGATTTATGCAAAAGTCTCTGTGCATGAGAAATGGAGGACAGTGGAGCTCATTAAGGTGTTAGTCATGCACAATATCTTTCAAATCAAATGCCACAAAGCCTCAGTCTTTTCGCTGTCATTTCAGGGATTGGCACTTCACTACTTAATATGCTACAGCAGACTGACTGCTGTTCAAATACATTCCATACTTCTTGAGTGCTGACTAACTTAAAGGATTTTCTCCCTGATGTGTTAAGTACTCACCCAATCAGAAAAAGTTGCTCCCTGCAAATGACAGCTACAAACTCAAACAATAGTTTAACCTTTGTTTTATGATTTCATATTAACATATTTTAAAATGAAATCTATTAAAAATTTAAATTTAATAAATCTATGAAGTTTTACCCTAAAATATGCATATAATGTGTTGTTGTGGAGTGATGTTGTTACTTGTAATCCAGGAAATGTATAGTTAGTCCCTATTCTTACTGTTTGCAATATGAAAGCCTTTATATTTCATTTATATAATTGAATCTGTTCTGTTCTGTCCTACACTTGTCACTCTATATCTTATGTATATCATCTTATCATGCCTGTTGGCTGAAAGGCCATCCAAGTAAGAAACAAAATAAACATTCTTAAAGCAAGGTAGTAACATTAATCCCTTAAAATGAAGCTTTTGCAGATCTGTCCTTTTAACTGTTGAAATTTAAACTAAAATGAATTCAAGTTGGGCTAAACATTGCAGGTCTGTGATGAGATCTCCAAAGTTCTAGAAAGCAGTGAAGGTAATGTGCAAAACTTACCAAAGAAATTTTTGAGGGATCAGACTATAAGAAGTACTTAAAGAAACATTTTTATGTATCTTTAGCAAAGTGGCCATTGTTTGTAAAGGTCACTGTATCTAGAACCAATTTGTTCCTATTTGGAATTGTCTTGCGATTGCAAGACAATCCTGTCTGCAGGATAATTTTTTCTAATTAGTTTGTAATTCCAATGCTGATTTTATTTATATATCTTCATTAAATAAAAACAAAATCGATGAAATGTTATATTTTTCATTGAGTAATATTTCTAAACGAAAAAATATTATTTTATGAGGCTCTGACATATTTACACCCTGGACAGGTCGCCAGTCTATTGCAGGGCAACACAAGACAAACAAGACAAACAACCATTCACGCACACACTCGCACCTAAGGAAAATTTAGAGAAGCCAATTAACCTAACAGTCATTTTTTTCTGACTTTGGGAGGAGGCTGGAGTACCTGGAGAGAACCCATGCATGCTCAGGGAGAACATGAAAACTCCATGCAGAAAGACCCCCGGCCGGGAATTGAACCTGGAGACTTCTTGGTGCAAGGCAGCAGTGCTAGCCAATTCTGAAGTGATTCCTAATATTGTTTTTATTTAAATGTAAAACCAATCTAAAAATAAGCACTGTCTTAACTCTATACAGTCTTTTTTTAATTTTCTTTTTATTCATCTAATATTTTTCATGGTTATTTGTGGCTTTTGTTGTTACAAAAAAATAAAATATAGCTGTAACAACTAGTGTGTAGAATATTTGACTACAATGCTCACACTTTTGGACCATTGTTATATTGAAATGCCTGGGAATAGAATGAACCAAAGAGTAATTAAAGATCTTAATATTGAACAATAATGTACTATGAGTTTCAGTTTATATTTGACGGTAGAGCTTACATTTTATTTCAGGTTCAGTGCTTAATAGACATGATATACAGTGATAATTCTGTCAAAAGGGGTTCTCTATAAAACATGAGTTTACATGAAAACAAAAAATACACCTCAAAACCATGACAAAACTCAGTGTTCTTGAATTTTAAGGCTTGTGCTAGAAGAGATTCTTATCTTTCTTATCATAGCATTTGACCTTTTATTCATGGCTTTAAGTTAGATCAAATATACAGAATTTATTTGTTATTTTTAATTCAGAATTCTGTTTTCTTTTCTACAAACCAACAGTCTAGTTGTAGCACAGAAAGAGCTGCACTAGCAGAGCTTGTAAAGTCTCATTTCATTTATGCCATCTGTCACGCCTCTTGCTCCCACTGGCAAAAATGTGATTAACATGCCTCTTTTGGAAATTTAGACCCCACTGGACCAAGGGAGGCTGTTAAAAAAATGAAAACAATTAGATAGTTTGTTTTAATGTGTTTAAATAGGTAGAAAATGCAGCTTCAGAACAAGAGTTTGTGTTTACACATGCATGTATGTCCAAAATACTCCAAGGATTTTGTGCACACATCAGAGGCACATTTTTTCAATTTTTACATTGTGATCACACTTATAAGAGCATAATTTAGACAATATGTAAACTTCTAAGAGAGAAGGGTGGGATTGTGGGTCAAGTTTGGTCAATATTTTGTTTTTTTTTTCTTTGTTAGTTCCTTGGCAAGGCGGAACAGCTAGTGATTGGCTGTTTGGATTACATCAGTGGGACACTTGAGGACACCATGAGGCAGCTTTTAACAAACAGCTTT